CGGAACGGAACCGACATTCCGCTCGCTTGTGGCATCCACCGCATCCGAGGCAACGAAGCTCAGCTGGGCCCTTGTCCTGACGATCTTTGGACCTCCTCCCAGCTGCTTGGTAAAGCTTGTCCACCTCTTCTTCAGGATCTTCTTCCGAATCCTCTCGCACGTCTTTCTTGTGGATGGTGGCGGTCTCTGGAGCGCTTCGCTTAGGCTGCATGTTCTTGACCGCCCCACCTGCAGCTTCTTCTGCTGAAACCTCTTGCAGAGCATCTTGGAAAGAGACATCTTCCCTGGCGAACAGTCTCTGCTGTAAGTCTGTGTTCCTCAGTCCGCACACAAAACGATCACGCAGTCTTTCCTCTAAGTCCTCGAAATCACACGGTTTAGCTGCTCTTTTCAAAGCCGCAATGTATTCTTTTGCTGATTCCCCAGCTCGCTGATCCCTCTGTTGAAATGTGTGCCTCCAAGCCATGACAGATTCCTTGGGCTGGAAGTGTTCCTTTAAAACTTTCTTCAGATCGGAGTATGACACCGTTTCCAGCGAGGCCGGGGTGATTAGGTTCTCGGCGATCTCAAAGGCGTCTTGCCCACAAACGCACAACATTGTGGCAGCCTTTAAGCCTTCCTCCCTTATCTGGTTTACGCAGAAGTAAGTCTCGACTCTTGCAACATAAGATCCCGGGGTGAGAGACGTCGAATTCCGCTAAACGCCCAACTTTCGCCATGATCGAGGATCAGAGTCTTCTTCAGCCGCACGCACCCTCCAGCGATTTCGTACTGGCAGGATAACGTTGACTTCCACGCCGTTTTCCTCTTCCGGACTTCTTTGGGTGAGTCTTCAAGCTTCCCTAGCTGTATAGACTGAATCCCATCCTCGTCGCCAGTGTTATGTCCGGAGAATAATGGCGCTTGAGACGAAGCATTTCTAACAAGTCTTTATTCTCTGCTTCCAATCTACGAACAACCCGAGCAGAGGCACGCAGGCCTCTATTTCTACCTTCTGATCCCCGGGCAAATCCAACCAATCATAAGGCGGTCTTTTCCCGCCTTGCGCATGCGCGCAAGGCCGGCGCCACTCAGTCTGGTCCCGGGCAGATTTTGCAAATGCCCGGGACTCTTGCAACGTCCCGAGCCTGCTTTTGCAGGCTCAGGACACAACACTTACCAATTACATTCTCAGTTTGACTACATTTATAATAGCATAAATTACAGATTGTGATGTGGGGATACATGGCATTTCCATCTTAAGACCTTAAGAAATGCCTTGCATCTGATTTGCATAAATAACATTTCCAACAGGTTTTTTTTAGATATTACTAAATGTTTTGCTTATCTTCTTTTGGGACTTGATATTCCAGCTGTCAGTTGATCTTAATGTTATGAAATGAAAAGTATGCCATTTGAATTAACTTGGCATAAAATAATTCATTTGCATTTAATTGTAATGGTTCAAAGAATGTTCGGAAAAATGTTCGGCCCTCCAGCACGTTCACTTCATCCAATCTGGCCCTCTTTGAAAAAAGTTTGGACACCCCTGTTCTAGGGGGTTAACCCAGGAAATGAATAAGGAAGGAATAAATTCTGTGTTTTCTATTGTGGAGATTGCGTTGTAGATCAGACCTATGGATCAATTACCAAGGCAGAAATTTGCAAAGAGTAGCATAAGGCAGAGATTCCCAAACTTGCTTCATGGTGCCCCAAGCATTTCCCAAACCATGTGAACTCACTCACAGCTTAATTTATTAAGTTACAAAATAGCCTGCATAGTTTATGTGAGTTGCTCAGTGCTCAGTTAAAGCTACTGTCATCATGATCCAAGCTAAATGCTATTGTGCAGTCAGCAATCACTCGCCTGTACAATTGTGACTAATTTAGCATTCCCATAATTCTGCTACATGATATTCAGGGAACTGGGTTCTTTCCACAGATGGTGCTCAGTTAGAACAATTTCCTCTAGTATATAGTAATCCACCATGGTCAGGGGTAGGCAACCTTGGCTCTTTTATGGCTCGTAGACTTCAACTCCCAGAATTCCTGAGCCAGCATGGCTCAGCTTAGAAATCTCTCCCTTTCCCTCAGCATGGCTGGCTCAGGAATTCCGGGAGTTGAAATCCATGAGCCCCTGACCATGGTTATAATTACTACTTGTATAACCTTGTAAACTCTTACATATTTCTGGGAAAATACAATATACTTTGTATATTATCATTTGGAGAAGCAATAAAGTGGCAGCTGGAGTGCTTGATTGTTTTGGAAGTGATTTTTGGAGTTTTCTTCTTAGATGAGGACCTCTCTCATATATCAGTTGTCTTCAGCAATGGATCAGAGGAGGAAAACCCTGATGTGTTTCTAGCATGGATGAAATTCTGCCTAAGAATATTCAAAGAAATTATCAAGATGTACATAGTCTCTTTGTTGCTAGGGATAAAAAAAGAGTGGTCCAAATACTCTGTACAGTAGAATTACTCTTTCTATCATGTGTGTCAAACTATTGTCACTGTACCATTCCATGTTTTTAATTATCAATTCCATGTCTTTGTTCTTTAGGACTCCCAGCATGTTTCTACAGGACACAGCAATCAAAGTAAGAATAATTTTCACTTCACAGTTGCATTTAATGGAAATCATGATAGGTTGAATATACCATAATATAAATTGGCAAGGGAAAAAACTGTTTGATATATTTTGAATGTGGCCATTACTGGTTTTTTTTTACTGGAAATCCTTTTGATCCAACCTCTACCAACTTTTAAATTGTAGTTCTGGTCTCCAAAAATTAAATTAGATATATGTATTTTAACTTGAGATAAATGCTCTGGCTTTTATGAGATATTTGAAGATTATTTTCTGAAACAATGGCAATATGTTCTCTATATTCATTATATCTTCTATTCTCCTGCAGTGACATCTCCAAAATTCCTGTTATGTTTTACTCTAGAGGGCACAGGGAAAGGCCTTGAAGGACAGGAGGGAGAACAGGTACTAAGGTAGTGGTCAGATAAGAGAGGCTTAAGCTAAGCCAAGAAAATAACTTGAGAGACACTTTTCAGAGAAGCCCCTTTCTAATTTGCATGTATATAAAGAGAAGGAGGGGAAACACATTCAGACTTGCAAAATTCTATTACTATAGCTATTATAATAAGAATAATTCTGACCTGGGCTTCTGGTTTTGCGCAGTAGTGCAGCAGCTGAGGGATTGCGGGGCTCTGCACTCTACAGTTGATTTCTGCCTGCCAGGGGACCCTAAATGGGCCTGAAGTCGCCCCATAGAGGCAACAAAGAATGAAGGAAGTCCCGCTGATTGTGAAGAGACGGCGGTCAATCCAACCGGTTTGGGAAAAGCCCTCCAGAAACCAGCAGGTGAAAGGCTAGCTTAACTTCAGAATCTAGCCTAAGCTATAAGCAGTCAAAGCCCAAAAGCACTACTTTAAGCTGACTGTAAACAATGTGTTTGGAACTGGGTAAGAACAGTGATTTTCTCTCTTCTACTTGAAAATTGATTTCCTGGGGGGGGACCCCAAGAAGCAAAAAGCCTCTGAAAGTGAGAAGGAGAGAGATTTAAATTTTTCAGGGGAAACAGAAATATACTGAAATGAAATGAATATAAGACTTAATTTGGATAAGTTTGAAATCGGTGGAATCTGTTAAGATTTTCCTTTTAAATCATGAAAATAGAAGTAAACAATTGTCTATTACTGACTGGTGCTGACATCTAGTGGTGGATGAAAATATACAACAGCAGTTGCTTTATTACAGGGACTGGCAAAGCCCAGGAAAAGATAATTTGGTTTTGGTGATCTTCAGTGTCTTAATAACGGAGAACAGCTGTGATAAAAAAGAAGAAAACCTTTTGGGCTTTCTACAAAGTGAGAATTATAAACTCTAAAAAAAAAAGAATTGACCTTTCTGGATTACAAATACCAACTCAACTGTGACTCTAAAGCTGTTTGCAGAGAAAGGAAAACCCTGATTTTTAGCTATCATGGAAAACCAGAGATCTGCAGAAAGAATATACCAAGAAAAAACAAATGCTTTCAAGAAGATCTATGCTATGTTGCAACTAATCCAAACAACAATGATCTCAAACCATGAGTAAATTAAAAATAACTTGAAAATATAAATGAACACATCTCCAATTTAACTTTACAACACAAAAATTCTCAGAAAATAAAAACAGAGAGTGAGCAGAAAAAACAGACAACTGAATACGAGACAGAAGAAAGAGATTTCAAGATGGAACTTAACAATAGAAGAAAGTATGACTTAACTCAGATGGAAAAAACTGTATAGGAAATACTGGTCATGGAAAAGGTAACTTATACCCTAAGATTACAAAATAAGTTTGAGGACAAGAAAAAAGATTTGACAAAATGGATTCTGCCAGGAGAACTACGAGAACTTGAGAGACAAAAAATGATAAATATAATCAAGAAAGAAAGAAAGGAAAAGATTCTCAATGAATATGAAGGGGCGAAATCTTCCTATAAAAACATCTTACCTGTTTTGCCTTTTGTACCTGCAACAACAATTTTAAGATTATGGAAAGATTCTTTGATTCAGCGAAGCATATTGATCAGGAAAGATGTTTGGCAAAAAAAAAGAGGCAAAAGTGAGAATTAAGAAATTAGATGATGGGATTTACCAGAGGGAATATTTAAAAATTAAACATCTGTTTGAATATGGTTAAAAACTAGAAAGATTTTGGATATAAATGAAGATTAGTTTAAGAGGGATGAACCCCCCCAAGTAACATAGTGTTTTTTCTTACTTTTTTCCTTTGTGTTTTGGTTTTGATATGAGAAATATAAAAATGTTGGGATGGTTTATATAAAAGAAATGTTTTATCTGTTTTCCCCCTTTTTTAAGACATGAGAAATGTAAAAGTGTTGGGATGGCTTGTATGAGAAAAAAGACTTAAATACTTAAGTGTAACTAATTTCGAGAAAATCTTAACCAGTAAGAATGCTTTGAATATTGTGGGGGGGAAATTTAAATAAGAATTCTGTAAACAGGATCTATGATGAGGCAATTAGAAAAGAAACTTTATATTGCTGTGGTTATTATTTGCAGAAACATGAGAAAAATGTCTATATTTAATTAAAATAATAAGAACTGTATTAATTTAAAGTTGGCAAAAGAGAATTTTATTGGAAGAAGAGAAAATCAAGCAAAGCCATTATATGGACTATAGAATTGTAGAAATTAATTGTTATTAATTGTTTTTTAAATACTAACCCAGACAACACGCTGTTTACCAAATATTAAGGTGATTATCTTAAAAATCAATAAAACATATTTAAATAATAATAATTTGGACCCATATGGTATTAGTTTCTTAGTCTAATCTGCCTTGCTGTGCTGACATTCACCATTATGGGAATAAAAGATGTTAATAATATTATATTTCTTTAATCAATGTAGCTTCCTAACATAGAGAACTCGATCCTAAGATAATTTAATTTGAACAAGTTTACTGAAGCTTCCATCCCTGTCCTGGAGGTACTTAATGCTCTCCCCGCGCACAGCTTGTCCAGATGATCATGGATCTTCTGGAGAATAGGAATATGGAAGGTTTATTGTATATGAACTATCCTGAGATCCAATTTGTATAATCTTCTATACTCCAAGCAATAGCTTTTTTCATATTGTTTAGGATAACTTTGACTTTTATAGAAGTTTTATGGAGGCACAAGAGAGGAAGAAACAGATACAGTTTGTTCTGTGGGGTTAACTTACATTGGAAACCAACTTATTGTGTTGACATGAATGCACAAGGTTTATAAATTCAGTCTTTCTCATTTTCTCATACGCATATCCATATAAACAATAGTAATTTAGGTCCATGTAGATGTTATAAAACTATATGGCCTCTCTGTTGCAAAGAATTCTTTTGTGAGACGGGCTATCTGCTGAGCAAGCTAAGCATACATAAACATGTTAGGAGCCATTCTTTTTACTGTGGGTTAGCATATTTCTGAAAAATGGTCAGGGAAACAAAAACACTTGAGAAAATGCAATGTGGTGCAGAGCAGTTTAATTGCCAGCAAGCATTTGATATTATTATGAAGAACACAAAGGAGAGGGAGGGAGGGAGGGAGGGAGGGAGGAAGAGAGACACACACACACACACACAGAGAATAAAGAGGGACATAGTTACTCTGAATAGGGGAACAAAGCTTTTTATGAATGATTTACATGCAAAGAGATTTGTACCTGGCTAATAATCTTCACTGATGATAAAGAAAAATAAGAAAAACCATATGATTCTGAGAAATGGCAAAAGGGTGTTGCTACAGAGACTTTGTATTTTTCCCCTTCTCTTTTCAACCTATTATTACTCACAACCTCTAACAGATTTTAAATTGTGGTTCTGGTCTCCAAATTGCTTCACTTATCAATTTCAGTTCCCAGAATTTATGAAATAATGTTTGAAATGATTCTCCTCCTTGTATGTGAGGTCAAAGGTATTTCTGACACAGCAAGTTATGCACAAGGCCATTTAGCAAGTAACTTGAGCATAGATTACCTATTCTTGATTTTGGGATAATTTCTTTCATTTATACAGCATTTCAAGTATCAGGTGGCTGCTCAGTTCTGCACATATAAATAAACATGGTGAAGAAATTCAGTATTGAATTACTTTGGAATGTGAGCTTTCTTTGATGAAAACTAAACAAATAATATATAGAAAGAGAAAAACTTCCTTTAGTTTGCAACAAATTAGGGGAAGGAATGAGTAAATACAACATGGGCTACACTTAAACATAATTATAATTTTAGCTTTGCAAAAGTGAGCAACCTTTGGATTTCTACAGTCTCATGTTCTGACTAAAACGGTTGTGAAAAACATTGCAAAAACTTGTTTCAATTTTCAGTTGACCAAACTTATTACAATATCTGAACCTTAAATTGCAAATATGATTTTAACAACTAATTATTCAAATAAGCTAGAACATACATTATTTCACAATCTATAGTTAACTTTTTGGTTCAGGTGTAGCATGTTTAGTTTAAAGGAATGAGTTAATGATTCTTATTTCTGTTCAGCCATCCCAATGTAACAGAACCCCAGAAAAAGGATGCTAGTTTTCAAAATACAATACAGGTAGTCCTCAACTTAAGACCATAATTGAGCCCAAAACATAGGTTGCTAAATGAGAAATTTGTTAAGTGAGTTTTGCCCCATTTTATACCTTTTCTTGCCACATTTGTTCAGTGAATCACTGCAACTGTTAAATTAGTAACATGGTTGTTTAAGTGAATCTGGTTTTCCATTGACTTTACTTGTCACAAGGTTGTAAAAGGTGATCACATGACCCCAGGACCCTGTAACCATCATAAATATGCGGTTAGGCATTGTGGCGTAACAGGCGCAGGAAGAGAGGGGCTCCACCTTCTGCATTCAATTTCGTCCCGCTAGGGACCCTAAAAAGGGTTGAAAGTCACCCTGGAGAGGTGACGAAGAAGGAGGGGATCCTCGTTGATCGTGAAGGGGCGGCCAAACCGGCAGGGGAAAGACTGGCTACACTTCTGTGGCCAGTCAGAAGCTGCTGACAACTGAAGAAAATAAGCATTAAGGAGCAA